CACTTTAAAATGCATATGTGATTTCAATAATCTTAAAAGAAAACTGCCCACATAGTCTTCCTTTCTCCCATGGCCCACAGCAAATATGATCAGGCACTAACTCGGCAATAGATTTTTTTTTTATTTTTGTCACTTAAACTCTGATTTTCTGCCAAATGGAACCCCAAGGCAGCTTACATTGGTGTCCTCTCCTTATTCTCACAACAAACCTGTGCAATAGATTAGGCTGAACATATCTGACTGGCCCAAGGTCACCAAGCCAGCAAAGTTTCATGGCAGAGCAAGGATTCGAACTTGGGTCTCTAAACTCTTTCTCTTGCTTCAGGACAAACAGGAGTATAGCAAAAAGCATTGCACAGTTTTCTTGTATTAATGATCTACAGTCTTCCTGTATTAATAATCAAATGTAGATTTTTCAACAGGGCATTAAGCACAGTTTTACATCTTGTTATAATATGAACGTATGGCAGACAGAGAGTAAGTTTTGATAGGGGGTACACAGGAATTCTTCTCCCCCTCCCAAAATACTAGAATTGGAAGGCATCCAATGGAGTGGATGGGCACTAGATTCAGGGTGGACAAAAGGAAATAGTTCTTTACACCACGAGTGGTTCAAATGTGGAATTCACTGCCAGAGGATGCAGTGATGGCCACATGCACAGGCAGCTTTGAAAGGGGATTAGACAGATCCATGGAGGATAGGTCTACCGTTGGCTACTAGCCATGGTGACTAAGGGGAACCTCCACATTTAGAAGCAGTAAATGTCTGAATCCCAGTGCCAGGAGGCAACATCAGTGGAAGGCCTCAGCCTCTATGCCCCATTGTTGTTCCTCCAGAAGAACTGGCCAGCCAATGTGTGAGACAGGATGCTAGACAAGACAGACCTGGTCTGATCCAGAAGGGCTCTTCCTATGTTCTTAATTTTTGTTGCTCAAACTCTTGCTGAATTGGCAGTGTCATGACTCCCTGCTCACTTACTTCCCCATCACTTCAGGGAGAAAAGTTCGTTGTATTCTAGCTTTAGGAAGTATTTGCGTAGTCTTGTATTAGGCTACTGTGGTTATAGTTACGCAAAGTGTTGCTATTAGCAACTTTTAAGATCCGTTGGTCAGTTTTTCACTCTCCCTCCCTCCCCCCCAACCTCCTTCTTCACAATGCCTGGAGGTGGTGGCAACAAGTTTCTAGCTCTAAGAAACCAGTTTTTTCTACCTCGTCTAAATATAAATCATCTTCTGTTCAAGATTGTATCAGCTCTAGTGCTCACATTATCAGTATTAAAGTGCTGCACCACTGCACAGCTTGAATGCCTTATAGCTTTCATTATTCGTCTACAGAAGCCTTACCTTCCTAGCACCAAGCACTACCAAAATGCCATTTACCCCTTACCATATCTGTTTAACCAACCAGACGCAGGCACAGAGGATATTATCACAATAAAGTTAAATGAGTTCTCTAATTTTTTTAAAGCCCTTCGAACCGGTCCCCTCAGAATGCCTTACACATTTCATCATGGACCCTTCACCAAGAAATGTATGCCATACTGGTTTTTTTTAATTAAAAAGAAAGCAGAAGCATGCAATGACCATGCAATTCCATGGAGAAAAGGTTACAGTGGCAACTCTTGAAAATAGCCTTTCTTGAGATATAAACTTCTAACGGTTTCTAAGAATCCTGTATCTTTACACAAGGTCACCCTGGTTAGCGGAGCAGAAAATATGCCAGCCATTACCCTGAAGTGCATCACTGCAGAGAAACATGGGATGTACTCCAAAGAGCACACTCAGTTTGCACAAGGGTGACGAGCCAGTGACTGACGTCATTGGCTAGACAGTTGCTTTGTTTTGATTTCTTTTTTGTATATATATTTGTATTGAGCTGGAGGTAAACCCATCCTGAGGCCATATTTAACTAACACTGTTTATTGGCTCCATTTGTATCCCACCTTTCTCCCCAATGGGGACTCCAAGCAGCTGATACTGTTCTCCGCTTCTCCATTTCATCCTCACAAGAACCCTATGAGGTAGGTTAGGCTGAGAGTGTGCGACTGGACCAAGGTCATCCGGCAAGCTTTCACGGCAGAGTGGGGACTCAAATTTGTGTCTCATAATCCGACACTCTAACCATTACGCCACACAAGCGCTCTTTGTCAAGCATTCTCTGGGAGAGAACCCTTGAGCCACTTCTGAAGTCCCATCCTAGAGGAGTCTTAGTTCTGGGGAAATATGCTTCGAACAACCCAACATTTTTTTCAAGTATGGGGATGGTTATCAAGAGTCAGCCCAATTCCCTTCAAAAACCATGAGCCAATGTATACTTAACAATCCAGAGCCCCCAGCTCAGCATCTACAGAAAGATCGATATGAGATTAATTCACTTTAAATATAGACACTGCGTTTATCTTTGGCTCTTGCTGTCAGGCCCTGCTGGTCTCTCTTGGTGCTTGCTGCCCTCAGCCATCTTCTTGCCCACCCCAGGGAGCAGTGAGAGGTCTCAGAATGGGAGGGACATGGGGTTAAAACACCCTTACCCTCCACCACCTCCTCCTCCCTGCCAGTTTGCCTCCTTCAATCACTTCTGGAGCCTGCTCTCTCTCTCCTCCTCGACCTCTGCCTCTTGGCTCCCCTTTAATCCTCCCCTTCCCCCTCTATGCCCTGCCTCTCTTGCTCCCCCCCCAATACTTGGCCCCGCCCCTCTGGAATCGTCAGCCTTTCCCCATTCAGGCTGGCTGCATCTGGCCTCTTGCCTCATCCCTGACTTCTGGCTCTCCCCAATAGGGGGTGGGGCAGCTGAAGGAGTCCCAGCCCCAGGCCAGAAGTACTCAACACAATCTCCAACGGCGCCTCTTCCTTTGGAACTGCACCAGTCACCAGCTACTGCCAGGGCGTGGGCCCATGGCTGGCCTCGTCAGGTGGGTGCCTCCCTGCCCCTTCACAATCCAATGCTGCCAATGGTGGCCTTGGCACGGGGCATGACAGCTCTGTGGCACTCCTCTCTGCCCTGAGACCGGGTAGTGATGGGGGTGGGGAGTCCTTCTGCTGTCGAAGTCCACGCTCAGACCTGAGGGGGCCTTGACAGTGCTTTCCAGAGTCTCGGGGAGGCAGGGTGCCCCAAGCCCGGACAGTTGCACACTAACATGAGAATTTCCTACTGCTATAATCTACTAGAATTCATTCACCAAGTCTTTAGCTTGGAGAAACGACGACTGAGGGGTGACATGATTGAGGTTTATAAGATTATGCATGGGAAAGAGCAGGTAGAGAAAGAGGTACTTTTCTCCCTTTCTCACAATACAAGAACCCGTGGGCACTCCATGAAATTGCTGAGCGGTCGGGTTAGAACGGATAAAAGGAAGTACTTCTTCACCCAAAGAGTGATTAACACTTGGAATTCACTGCCACAGGAAGTGGTGGCGGCTACAAGCATGGACGGCTTCAAAAGGGAATTAGATAAGCATATGGAGCAGAGGGCCATCAGTGGCTATTAGCCACAAGGTATAGATAGGGACTCTGGGGCAAGTGATGCTCTGTCATCTTGCTGCTTGGGGGGCGGGGGCCAACAGTGGGAGGGCTTCTAATGTCCTGGCCCCACTGGTGGACCTCCTGATGGCACTGGTATTTCTGGCCACTGTGGGATACAGAGGGTTGGACTGGATGGCCTGATCCAACATTGGCATCTCTTATGTTCTTATGTTCTTAAGACAAGAGACACTGGAAAAGACAATAATGTTTGGGAAAGTTGAAGGCCCAACATGAGATGGATGGACTCAATCAAGGAAGCCACAGCCCTTAGTTTGCAAGACTTGGGTGAGGCTGTTAACGATAGGATGGTCTGGAGGTCATTAATTTGTAGGACTACCATAAGTCAAAAGTGACTTGATGGCACTTAACACACTTACAGGGTTTTTTGCAAGAACGCCAAAAAAGCTGCAATTCATTGTTAACAGGGACGTTTATGGGATTTTACAGTAAATGTTTGCTAATGGAAAGAGGGAAAACAAATTTTACCTATTCCTGCCTCCTGGTACAGACTTCCAAGTCACTCATGCTCTCCCTGAAGTCTCCTGTCCCCCGGGGAACAGTATTTTGGGCTTGCAGCAGGAAGGCAAGAGGTCTTGTTCCACTCACAGAAATGTCTTTTGTGGCAGGAATTAAAGTCATTCCCCCACCCCCATTACAGGAACACTAGAGCCAAAACTGGTTTAGAAACGATAGGACATTCTGGAGGCCATGAATTCACAGGGTTGCCATAGGTCAGAAGCAACTTGATGGCACTTCACACACACATTTACAAAGGAACACAGTGTGACTATATCCTAATGCTTCAAGGTTGCTTAACTCCAAATGTTACCTTGACTGATCTTTGCAACCTATGTTTTCAGCCACCATGTCTACTCACATTTCAGGATGGTTTTATATGACCCAGTCTTGTAGGCTAAGAAACGTCCAAGGCTGTTGGCAATGAAGGCCCATGTGAACATGCCACTCCAACCCTGTTTGGGTGGCGAGCATATTTTAGTTCGCCCACGGGGCCAAATGGATCCTATGCAATTCCAGATGGCCCTCCGGGATCCAATGCCCCCTAGCAGCTCGTTGGATGAGCTTGTCGAGGACTGGCAAAACCGACTCTCGGCGGCCATCGACAAGATCGCTCCTCGAACCCTCTGCGCCCCGCCTAAGACTCACTCCATGGTGCACACAGGAGCTGAGGGCGATGAAGCGGAAATTAAACCAGATTACATAAGGAACATTTGTGCCAGAATCCTATTAGTACCAGGTAAAACAGGAGATTTTAACTACTGGGGGGAAGGGGTTTTATTTTGAGCTGTATATTTTCACTAGAAATATTAGCCAAAAACATCTTTCGTTTTCAGAAAAGTGAAGCTCTAAAAAAACCATCAGACAGATCGTGGAACTTCCCAAGGAATCCCAAACAGCACTAATATGGCATGCCAGAGGCACAAAGTAAATTATTTTACCTCATCAGGCCATCTCTACCTGCCCTCAACAACATGACTAGACTTGCCGCGCTTTACAATGAATACAGTACCACGTGACAAGATTAATACCTAGCATTTTTAAAGAAACACAAAAGCAGAAAGATTTTGGCCTTTTTTATCTCACTGGTAGAGAACTAATAATGCACTTTGCTGGCTGAGTTTGCACTTTGCTTCCAAGTTTCTAACACTCAGGTGATTTTTTTTCCCTACCTGATCCACCTCAGAACAAAAATATTTGCTCACCAATAAGCACTTGTTTTCAGATAACATGAACTCGTCATTATTCTATTCAAATCACTAGATCGTGACCAGCCCCTCTGGATCAGACCAAAACCATCCAGGTAGACCAGCATCCCACTTGCCAACAGAGGCCAAGCTTCATTTCTCATAATCTGGCCATTTCCTAGTCTTTGGCCGGTACTGTAAATTGACCTGTTGGCACCTTGGCAAGGAAAACCCCCCAACTGTGTTCATTCCTGATTCAACAGTGCTCCCATTCAAGGAGCCATCCACAAAGAACCTCAGTCTCTCGCCACCCAAGATTTATGAATGGTGACATTGTACACTTGAGATTCCAGCCCTTTCCTCCGCCAATAGACACCAAGAAGAACCATAGCGTTCCTCTGCATTGTCCTCTTCTTACCACCCACAACTTTTAAAGCAGACGATAATCTGAGACGTTAACATTAAGCAGCATTAAAAAGGCAAGCTTTCTTTATATAGAGAAATGACAAAAAAATAAAGATGGAATACCTCCTTTTTTATTTTTATTATTTTCGGCTCAAAGCAAGGGCGTCAGAGGGGCACGTACTTAAATGTGCTCCTCCTGCAGAGCAAGGGAAAGCCTCGGGCATCCCAAGAAGCCCCGCATTCTTCACCAGACACCGCCCCTTCTTCCAAACTAGGCACATTTGGGGCGACTGGGAGACCGCAAACGGGGCACTCGGCTTGCTGTCCCAGCTGAGCTTCCCGCCCCCTCAGGCGCCCAGCCTTTTCTCAAGGTCCTTCAAGCAAAAGCGCGTCAGTCCACCAGCAAGGTCGGGCAGGCTTCTCCGGTTTTGCTCTCCTCCCAGCCTCGATCCCCAGCCTCGCTTGCAGCTACACATTCGGACTTACCCAGTTCTGCACTTTGTTGCTCAGCTTGACTTTTTTGCACTGGCTGGCAGGCAACTCCATCTACGGTGGGTGGAAGGGGGGAGAAGAGAAGGAAAAGCTGCGGGAAGGCAGGCAGGCGCTGGCGGAGTAGAAGATTCGCTGTCACGGGAAGGGGGGAAAGATGCTCTTGCAAGAGAGGATGCTGACGGTGTGATCGTGCGCGAGCCCGGCTCGGCAGGAGGAGGCAGCTAAGAGGAAAGTGGGGGGGGAGAGGGAGGGAGGGGGAGAGGGGCCGAGAAGGGACCGAAAAGGAGGGGCAAGAGTGAGGCGGGGACGGAGGACAGGCGCGCGATCACCCGCTCCGTCCCTCCGCAGAACGCGCATGCGCCCGGCTGCCACTGCCACGCAACCTGTGTAGGCTCGCGGCAGACAATGACGTTGCCCAGGGACGGGAGCGGAGGAGGAAAAGACAAGGGTGAGCAGCACTTCCGGGTTTGCCGCTCTAGCCGCCTGCTTTTTTGAGCCGGCGGGGGGAGATGTGAAATTGCCAGGCTGAGGTCGCTGGGGGAAGAGACAGCGCTTTATTGGATTAGGCGAAAAACAGCCAGCTAGGCGTTTGCAGAAGCGCGGAGGTAGAAGGGGTGGTATTTTCTGTATTGTTGCTTCCTCGCGCCTGGCAAATGAAATCCAGGGTTGTTTTTTGGAGGTTCTGTAATTGCCGGTTTCTAGGGGCTAGCCCGGTCTCGGAAGCTAAGCAGGGTCGGCTTGGATAGGAAGCCACCAAGAAAGTCTAGGTTCGCCACGCAGAGGCAGGTAACGGCAAACCACCTCTGAATCTCCCTTGCCTTGAAAACCCAACGGGGCGATCGATGCCAAAGATCTGTTGCGACTGGAGGGCACTTTCCGCCGCCAGCAGCCGTGTTTCACTGGGCATATGCTGTGCGCGCGCTTAATGTACATTTCGTATTACGTCAGCCACGAAACGGTTCCCCGCCACCTTTACATTTTATTTTTTTATCAAGGGGAGTTGGTGGTTTTGTTTTCTTTGCTCTGTAGTAAGGGCCTGGGTACACAACTCAGAGAATGCAGTGGCAGAAGGTGGATATGGTAGGACGGAATGCACCACTCTGGACTGTGCGGGACAGGAACCTGCAGTGTGATTTCCAGTATCCTGCAACCAGATTCATTAGGCACAATAATTGCTTTCAGAGATTCACAATTCCAAACTACTAAACAGTATCTACCACTTCTGTGATCTCTTAACTACTGTAACTTGTCCACAGTGTGCCTACTAACAGAGCAGGTTGTTGATAAATCACCTAGAATGGATTAGACAAACCATTTAGGGGATGCTGAAAGGATCCCCCAACACAAGTCCCTGCAATCACTGTTGATATGATTGGCATTTAGGCTACACGTTGCTTACAGAGAAAGATAAGTGTATACCTTGAGTGTGGTATTGACGATGGGTAGAAGCCTGATATGGATCTTCCAAGGTTTTCCCCTGCTCTTCAGATCAAATGTGGTGATTTCAGGGGTATCCAGGATCTCCTGCTTAACTGGAATACTTCATTTTACAAATACAAAATCTGGAGCAGTATCATGAGTTTTTAAATCTTGCATAATAGCTGGAAACTGTTAATCCAACAGAGAGATCAATTATAGGTGCTTTCACCTGGATTATTTGCTGACCAGTACCGCACTCCCTTCTTTTTTTTCTTTCTTTTTTTTGCCCCCCCCCCAAGGGGAATTTTTTATTTTTGCATTTTCTACACACTACATATATATGGAATGGGGAAAGGGATACTAATGCCCTATCACTATTACTATGGGAAATGGGTCAGGGAAGTCTAAATACGTATAATCTACTGGATAAAGGGAGGAAAAACTACCATTCTATTCTAAATCTCCTACTGGATATGGGGAAAGGGGAAAGACTAATACAAATCATGATCTAAAGCAAGCTTAAAAATAGACCTTTTTAACCTATTAGTACAGGTTATACAGAGATTAGTTCGATTATAAAAAGTATAAAGTTATTAGCTTGGCACAATTACTGCCCTTAGCACTCATGCTTTAGTTTTAGAGTCTTTTCTTCTTAGATTTCTTCATTTTATGCAGATTGGGAGCGACCTCTCCTTTCTCCGATTCAGATGATTCTGATGACAAGGAAGATTGGCTTGTTGAGTCCTGTGAGTAGGACTACTCATCTTCTTCCTCCGCATCCATTTTTAAATTCTTTTCCTTCTGCTTCTTTCCATAAATCTTTCCGCTTTTGGAACAGAGTCAATTTTATATTTTTTATCCTGGCAATTAAAACTCAACCCTTCCAGAAATAGCCATCTATACTCTATTCCCTTTTTTTGCAGAGAGAGAGTAAGCATCCTTTATAGTTTCCTCGTTTTTCTTACTTCGAATGGGATGTCTTTCAAAAATTTTATCTCTTCATTCTTGATTTTTAAGGATTTCCCCATTGTTGACTTTAGCACCAGTTCCCTGGTTGATCGTTTTGTGAATTTTAAATAAGTTTCCCCTGGGAGTTTATTTTTCTTTATAAAGTCCGGATAAATCCTGTACGCCACATCCATTTCCTTAATTAAGTCTTCTTGTTTGTAATCCATTAGTGGGGCCAAGGCAACCGCCAAGAGTTCCTTTAGATCCTCATTCTTATCCTCAGGTATTCCATGGATCTTTCTAGCTGGAGCTGTATTAGTTGGGTTTTATCCGAGGATCTCTCGTTCTCTGCTTCATCCATTCTTTTATTAATACTCTCAGTCTGTTCTTCCATCTTTTTCAACGTTTTCTCAGTTGCTGTAGTTTTTCTCCAGCGCTCTTCGTCCTCTCCCGGCCATAATATCAACAAGAAGTAAGTTTTCCAAAACAAAGCAAAAGTTATGCGTTTTAATTCCACTTCGTATATTTTAGCAGCTTTTGCGTTTGCTTAACTTCTTATACGCTTGGTTTGGTTCAAAGTCTTTTTATTTTCGATTTAAAACCGTTTTTACAGTTTACTCATATGGGGGGGGGCCCTTGAAATCTCCCCCCCCGTGCTTCAAACTTAGGCACTTCCAATTACTACCAAGGCTCCATTCGCTTATTTTTCACCTGAGCTTTGCTTAACTCACAGTTTGTAGCCTTGGAGATCTTTTGGAAGTCTTTTTAATGAGTTGGTCGTGATCACTTGCTCCGGCAGTCGTCTCTAGGCGCCATGCTGGCTCCACGTCGACGGTACTTATCGGGGAAGAAGGTGAGCCTCAATTCCTTGGGGCGTCCCCTTGGAAGAGGCTCTTCTCAGCTCCCCAGGCTGGGGGTCTCCTATAGAGACCTGGGGGGGGGGTGTCCGGGACGAACCCAAACCCCTCCCATCAGCCGGGTCTCAGCGCATCTCCATCCGAGCGAGACGAGATGCGTCCGAGCGGCAAAACGCTTAGACCGGAAGTCCCGCACTCCCTTCTTAATTACTTGCATACCTGCTCAGCTAAACCAGTGATCGTGCACTGGTATGTCTCGCTATCCTCTTTATCATCATTGTTGCCAAATTGCAACAGTGGAGACTAAACGTATCTTTGCTGCAAGACAAGACCTTGATTCATTCTTTGAGATAACCACATCCAGAAATTTCTGAAAATCGGTGGTAACAGCAACACCTGTGTGGCTGTATGATTGGACATGGATAAATTGATTCTTTCAGAAAGAAAAAGCAGCACAAAGAACTTGTAAAGTTGAAAGCACAATTGTTGGCCTGTTGTACAGACAATGTCCCTGCGTAGAATCAATAGTTGACTAAATTAAGATGTAAGATTATTAAACTAGCTTGCCTCAGACAATCATTCTGGGAAACAGATGAAGAGACCAGAAAACTTTTAACCTACTAGTTGAAATAAAGAATAGGAATGCTATCCCAGGAATTTTACGAACTAACAATGTAGTGAACATACACATGAAGCTGCCCTATACTGAAGCAGACCATCAGTCCATCAAGGTCAGGTTTGTCGACTCAGTCTGGCAGCGGCTCTCCAAGGTCTCAGGTCTTTTGCAGCACCTAGTGCCCGGCCTTTTTAACTGGAGATTGAGCCTGGGACCTTCTGCATGCCAAGGAGATGCTCTGTCTCTGCCACAGCCCCTCACCTGGCACAAGAAAAGACGTCATTCATTAATAAAGTATTTCAGCATTTTTATCTGATCTTGTTAAAAGGAAATAAATATTCAGCTAGAAAACTTCAGTCCCTTTCTACATAAAATGCAGCTCCCAACAGTCTTTGCAAATAAAAAAACCTCAATTTAGTAACACCTACATCAATCCCTAAAGTTAAACAATAAAACCATAATGAGTGCATCCAGGATTGGTGCCTTTGCCCCTGCTCTTACCTCAGGGAACTGCAAGCCCCACCAAAGGCAGGCTATGCCAGCAAGCCCGGAGGCCGGGGAAGTTGTCTGTCAGGTTGCCACAGAGCACGGCCTTGGAGTCTACTCCAACAAGCTTGAAGGAGCTTAGCTGGCTCTTGGCAGCATGCTCAGTAGCAGAAGCCAACCCACCAAAGTTCTTGCTGAAGATGACCCAGGGGAGCTCTGACAAAGGGGAGGGAGAACAGGCAGCACTGACCTTAGAGGAGGTTGTGTAGGGCAGCCAACTCTTTAAAGAAGTCCAGGGGGAACATACAGGGAGTTCAACAATCCAAGGCAAGGATCCATTGGCCCAGGGGCCTGTCAGTCCCCAACACTGGGTTGGGGAGGGAGGATTGGCTGAGCCCAGGGTTGGCCCGCCCTTGGAGAAACATTGAAATGGTGTGCCTATTTCAGCCAGGGAGGAAGAGCCAAATGTATTCCCTGGTGGGTGGGGACAGGTAACTGTCAGAGCAGAGTGTGGGAACTGGGTATTTTGCTGTATTCTGAGTCTCTACCCTGGGACACTTGCCCAACTAAAGCAAACCTGGAGGGTGAGACAGCCCCAGACTCAGATCTGACCCTAGTGGAGCCTGACAGTGAGGCAAGACCTATAAACCCCGGGTCCAGTAAGATAACCTTACCCTGGAGTTTATGTGTGAGGCTTGCATCTCTTTCGTTCTGTAACTAAGCACAGACCAACAGCACTGTGGCTATTCCCACAGCTATAGGCTATTCCCATATTAATACTGGTTATCACCAACATTAGTATTTGCCCCAGTTTTATACTGCAGTTAAGATGTACAAGCCCCATCTTGAACGCGTCTCAGAGAGACTTTATTCCTGGAAGGCAAGATGCAAATCATCTTGGCCTGTTAATTCATATAATGGCTCTTAGCCAGGCTGTGCCCTTGGCCATATAGATTATTTTCCTTCCTAAACAACGTTTTTATGTTTTATATGTATTTTAACTCTGTTTTTAAACTCTTTTAAAAATTGTTTTAAAGATGTATGTTTCCTTTTGAGTAGTTTTTTGCTGCCAAGTTGCAGCTGACTTATAGTGACCCTGTAGAGTTGTGAAGGCGAGAGACA